TCTCCTGAAACCAGGCTCGACTAGACCTTAAAACATGTATGTCTGCATTATCCTGTTGGAAAATGTCATGCCAGTAATAATTAAAACCATCAGGGCCATCTAAATTAAATTTGTTCTCATCTGAGAAAACCACTTTTTTCCAGTTTTCCGACCAGGACATGTGTTGCTTCCCAAAATGTAGCCTGGCCGCTTTGTGGCCGTTAGATAAAGCCGGCTTTGACTTAATTTTCAACCATTTTAGCCGGTTGCTAGTTGCCAAAACTTGCTGAACACTGCGTTTTGTTATAGGAAGGTCTAATTCCTTAAGAATCTTGGCAGCAGTAGCATTTTTTTTTTTTGAGTCCTGCGCGTATAATAGCGGATGTTCCACGTGGTGACACCTTTTTATTATTGCAATTTTTCCAATTTTTGTTGTAATTTTCTTTCAAATTCACAACATTATTTACAGCAGTTGGCGAGCGATTCAATTTGGATGCAATCCTTCGGTTTGACCAACCCACATCCTTGTATGCAAGGATTTTATCGATTTCTTCACTTGTCAGAGTCACTCCTCCTCCCATTTCAATATAATTTGATAAACACCGACTAAAACTCAACTAAACGTTTACAAATAGTATGTTTAATCAATTTTATAATAAATAACAGAGCTTAAATTCCTCACTGACCTCTTTCCAAGACACAAGACGAAGTGACTTTAATTGAATTTCGTGAAAAACAGCACCAAAAATGAGGAATGTGCATGAAATTTACTCATTGTAACTGCAAATCTAACTGTAAATTTTTTGTGCATGCTAAAAATAGAATACGAAGATCTAGACAAAGTATAGTAGAAAAGAACAAGAACCGTTATACAATTTTACTTTTTCCAGTTTTATCTGCAGAAATGCAGTTGCCTTCAATTGAATTTCGGGGAGTGTATACATTTTATTCTATCAATATTAATATTGTTTTGTATTATTGTATTACGATCATCAAAACCTAAATAAGTTCAGCTAAAAGGTAACACGACATTCTTTGACTGTTAGGCGGTACGAAGTTCGCCGGGTCACCTAGTTAAATATAAAAGACTACTTCTGGAGTCTATTGGAACGCAAAATAACAATTTGGTTAAAGAAAACTAAAGAAGAGGCAATTTCTGAGGACACTTTCCATTGATAAGGGATATGTCCAGTTCAAAATTTTGTTCTTAGTATTACATTCTTGTCAAAGTACTTATGCCATGCCATAAATTTAAATTTAATAAATATCTTTTTAAGTTTCTATGCAAAAATATAAGTGGCATATTCTTATGTTTCTGTTATATATAAATAACAAATGAAAAATAAATAAAAAATTCTGAAGGAAGCCGTTAAATAGTTATGCACAAAGTACGCGAAAAATTTTTCGTCAAAATAATTATGCTAACGACTAGTGTAATGTGTGAAACATTGAGCACTGCACATAAAAAAAAAAAAAAAAAAAAAAACATGCTGTTCGAATTATTAATGGTTGGGACTCGTATATCTGACTAAGATGGTTGCAATGCTATGTTGCGTATATCTCGGCTGATGCTGTGCTAGGCAATGCTCTAATTCTTTTCAAAAACCGAGCTGAAGCATTTGTCTCATGTTGTGTACTTTTAAAATCAAGATCTTAACCGCTTCAAAAATCAACTTCAAATTTATAAAAACGAATCGCAGGCAGCAGTTAGATTGGCAATACCAGATTCTTCGAATTTCAGATTATTCTATGAGCATCACTGCAATTATTACTGAAGATCATTCTGTTATCTCAGTAGTACTGCACGTTGATATTCTTACTGGAGCTGGTCTGCTTTCTTCAAGTGTTTTTACGATGAATAAATTCAGTGTCGGCTGGGGTGGATAATAATCCTAAAAATTTTGTCATTTAGCACAACACAAAAGACTTCACGTGACGTTAATCCCAGCACTAGGCTTGATTTGTTAGTGCATTACTTTTGGAAAGTGACCCTTAGAAACATCCCAGCAAGCATTTGGAAGACTGTTTTAACAGAAATCGTCTTGATGAGTCTTTTTTGAGTTCCCTTGACGATTAAAAAACGATCTAATCTCCTGGGCGATCGAAAGAAGGCTCATAAATGACCCTTCCATATGCTCAAAGTATGATTGCTTTGAAATACAAAAACGAAATGCAAAGAAATCGCCAAATGAGCATGCAGGTGATTAAAATATGATCATTGCTTGGTTTTGCTTTGTTTCTATGCACTCATATTCTGCTTGCTTGGCTGATCCAAATGCGATTCTTATCTGAGCTTAGATCTAAGTTAAACTTCACTTTTTCTTAAGCACATGCCGAAATGTGCAAATTTTCTCATTCGATCGTGAAAGTGCAAGTGAAGTGCAAGTGCGAAGTGCAAACAAATCAATTATTATATCAATTATATCAAATAAAAAGGTGATTATGTCAGTCGAACAATTGCGTCGCGTGGCCAAAAGAGAGGCTTATAAACTATTATTTTTATTAATTAATATTTTCCCTTATAAATGCATATATAAATGCGCGTACAAAGATTTGAATACGGAGCTACAAAAGCATTTTGTCCATGCCAATGACAGGCTGGCAAAGCGTAGGCGTTTAAATTAATATAAAACATACATTGAATCTCTATTACTGTTTTTGTTGTTAGTTTTTGTTTTGAATTTCTATGTTTTGTTTTGTATCTATTTACTTTCTTTAGTTGTTATTTTTTAAGATATTATATATATATTAAATGAAAATTAGATTAATAAAAAAATTATTTTCGTTGCAAATTATTGAAAATTTCATTCAAATATGAGTCAGAAATGATTAAATTAAGACTCTTTTTTGATTAAAAGATGACTCGTGGAAGACACTTTTATTATTAAAAGATGACTCGTAGAAGACACTTTTATGATTTAAAAATTTGCACATTTCGGCATGTGCTTAAGAAAAAGTGAAGTTTAACTTAGATCTAAGCTCAGATAAGAATCGCTTTTGGATCAGCCAAGCAAGCAGAATATGAGTGCATAGAAACAAAGCAAAACCAAGCAATGATCATATTTTAATCACCTGCATGCTCATTTGGCGATTGCTTTGCATTTCGTTTTTGTATTTCAAAGCAATCATACTTTGAGCATATGGAAGGGTCATTTATGAGCCTTCTTTCGATCGCCCAGGAGATTAGATCGTTTTTTAATCGTCAAGGGGACTCAGAAAAAACTCATCAAGACGATTTCTGTTAAAACAGTCTTCCAAATGCTTGTTGGGTTTGTACGATCCAAAAAAAAATAAAAAATAAAATAAATAAATAAACAAGTAAGAAGCTCTAGTCGAGAGTGCTCGACTACGCGATCCCCTGAACCCTTCGAGCAACTGATATTTCAATAATTATTCGCATATACACACATAGACGCACACACACAGTCATACATACGCACGCATAAACAAGCATTGGCTGCAGTGGTGGCTTACTATGGGAACTTAATTGTTTAATAACAATTCATGTGGATGTACTTTTTTCATTAAATTCTCAGATTATGATTATAAGATATATGTATATGCATGCATTTGTCAAAGTATTTGAAATACGCTATTTACAAATTTGTTGGTGAGGGAGTCGATATAGCAGAAGGAATCGTGGCAGATCCCACATAGTATGTATCTTCTTGATCAGGGCGACGAGCTGAGACGATTTAGCCCGTCCGTCCGTTTGTCCGTCCGTATGTATGAACGCGTCGATCTCAGAAGATATAAGAGCTAGAGACATGAAATTTTTACCTATATATATATATATATTTTTCCTAAGTCCGTGTATATCACGCGCATATCGAATTATTCTCCCAAAATCGATAACGGATATTTTGTTATTGATTAAAAACCGTATCGAAAACTAGTTATTTAATTATATCTCGTATATACGTTTAGACATACATCCTCGAAACTTTAAATGTATACTTATATGTATGTATTTTATATAATTTCGAGTTTCGTTGTAATTTAACCCCCACCCCTATATCCACCCCCTCACCATCATACTTTTAAAAGGCGAATTTCACATACTAGAGACCTGTGCTTTGGCACATGTTCATGAGATCATGATCTACAAGTTTCATGGAGATAGTCCATCGACAAGAAAAGTTATTAAATATTTAAGTTCCCATAGTAAGCCCACACTGCAATCCATGCGTGTTTATGCAGAAATACGCGAATATTTATTGAAATATCAATACTTAGATGGGTTCAGAGGATCTCGTAGTCGAGCAGTCTCGACTAGAGCTCTCTTGTTGTTTAATAACTTTTCTTGTGGATGTACTTTTTTCATAAAACAAAATCAATCAAGAATATATATACCTTATGGGGTATGCCAAGCCCCTTCTGCCTGTTACATATTTCTAACAAAACCATCTTATTGCAAATGGGTTCAGGGTTTAAAAAGACTATAGGTCAAATGTACTTTTATCAGAGCCTGTCTTCATATTTTCACGAACTTAATAATTTTAAAGATATGCATGTAGATGTGTAGAAGTAGGATATATAGTATATATTAAAAATTGATAAATGTATGTTTTATATTTTGTCCATACTGCTTTCTTTTTTCAAAAAATAATTTTAATGTTATCAATATAAATATTTGTCACTCCGTCTTTGATCAGTGAGCAACCGACTATAGCGGCTCTTCTACCAATTCGCTAGCGCTCAGACGTTTTGATTTGGGTTATTCCATTCCGGTTAAACTCCATGTAGCAAAGACTTTTCGTGTATGTGTTGGCAGTATGAGAGGACTACGATCATTAAACATAACGTACCTGATCCATGTGTTTGTGGATGTAAAAATCTGTTACTTTTGTTCAAGTAGGAGGAAAACAGTTTTTGTTCATTGATATTTTTGCTCATAGTGTTTTTGTGGTCGCTACTTTCACATTATTATATTCTTCTTCTTCTATTGGTAGATATGTTTCCTGTCATGTAGAGGCATCCCCACCGGGTTAAGATCACACTTTTTGAATGCTATTGCATCCAAAGTAGAGGTGCCAAACTATCGATGGTGGGCCCCGTCGATTGGGGACGATAGTAGTTTCGAAACCATCGATAGCTGTCGATAGTACCATCGATTGTGGTCGATAGTCGCAATAAAAAACTGCGATTCTTAGCCTTCAAAATTTGAGCACTTCAATTTTGTGAAATTCCATTTTAAGATAAAAGCTGAATGGACTTAAAAGCTAAAACCTAAAAACTATTAAGTTATGGTTTTTATTGTAGGGATCGATTTTTGTTGTCTGCAAATAAGTGTCTTTCACACACACAATAAAAAAGACAGAAATTGTTTTTGTCGCGTATGGTTTACCTCGCTCGCGCTCTGAGCGAGACAGTTATTTCAGTTTTCGTTTCACTCAAGTCAAGCACTGATCGTTTGCTTGAGTTAAATGAATTGAAATAATAAATAAGAGGTTAAAGTTTTTGCAATGCGTTGTCATAATACTTTTGTCCTCTATTGTATGTATGTATTTAATACACACGAAGATCATTTCTGTTGAGTTTTTTGCTGAGAGTCTATGTGTAAGCGAAAATCGTATTACTCTTTACGCGACACTCATTTGAGATCGTCACACCAATGAGTCAATCCGAAGCACTTGACCAAAACCGATTCAAAACAAAACAAAGAGAGAGAGGGATTTTGTCTGCACAATCATACCGGTTATGATATGAAGCAGAGCATATTCGAAAAAACCGATCAACCATTATTTGCAAGCTATGATACAAAATTAAGAAAAATTATAATTATTAATCACGCACTTTTGACGATATTATCGTCCACTATCGAGACATTGAACCATCGATCGTTCAGTCGCTCGTTAGTGCCCGACCATCGATAGTGACGACAGTGCCATCGATAGTTTGGCACCTCTAATCGAAAGTAGCCTGATAACAGCCCGAAGATAGCACTTCGGAGGTGTCATCGGAGGTGCTCAAGAACTTTGTAGCGTTTGCATAATAGTTCCACACTGCATTGTAGTTAGCCTATTCAAGTGAGAAATGGCTAGAAATGAACAGTTGACCGTGTCCTTTGATGTATAATTTTCAATGGATCAGGCTAGTGTTGAAAATGTAATTGAATTTAGCATTAACATAAGCTGACATGTAATCCGGTAACCCCATACAAAAAGTGTAACTGACATTTCACACAGTTTATACTGTACTCTATATTAAACCTTTAACCGAACCACAGCGTCTTTACTCCCTCGCTAGCATTTCATTGCCAATATTAACCCAGCACATCCAACATTGGTTATGGGCTCAGGGTAACCGCTATTCAGTTTATTTGTTGCTGAGTGATCAACAGTTAATATCGTGCGCGAATTAACCAAGAGTTGCATGCAAAAAACATGTCGTACCAAATTGAAAAGCTTGAAACTAACTACGGCGTGTAGCATATGGCCATGGAAAGTATATTAGAGATGGCCGACTTATGGAAAGTTGCCTGTCAAAAATATGAAGAACACGATGATGCAGCAGCCGCAAAATTGTACAAGGATTGACAAGGCAAGAGCTTATATAACTTTAAACATGAAGCCCTTTCAGCTAATGCTTATTAAAAATTGCACAAAAGCCGAAGAAATTTGGAAACAACTCAAGAAGTTGCACTTGCCAGTTTACCGATTCAGAAAAAGCAAGCGTATCAGAAGTTGATTCATTAAGCATGCAACAATTCATTTGTTGGAATAATTGAATATAATTCTAAACGACGAGTTAAAGATAATTATGCTATTTTACCTAATGCATGGGAAAGCTTTATTATAAGCAATAGCTACGCGCGATGAGCTGCCGAAATATGATTCTGTAAAAATCAAATTAATAAAATAAGGCACCCGAAAGTCAGAGTAAGTCTATACCCACACACAAGAAAAACCGAAAGAACAGCATTGACAGTTTAACGGAAAGCGACTGTCAGTCAAAGAAAGCGAACGAAAAAAGGTACGACAGAAAGAGACAGAGCAAACAAACAGCAGGTTAATGTACTGCTTTGCTGGAGAGCAGAAAATAAACGTATGTTGCGTAAACAGCGAAGCAAAATCTCATGTGTTGCGATCGCAATATGTTTATAAACTACGCTGAAAAGAAACGCCGATAATGGTGGCTGCAATAGGAATTGGAAACATGAAAATAAAAGTAGCGGACTGCATAATAAATTTACAGAATGTTTTACATGTACCCGAACTCCATATGCATTTTTTCTCAGTGAACGCAGCAGTTAAGTTTGAAAACTCCACAACATTTAAAGGCAAAATCTTGGTTATTAAAAACGAACGAACGAATTGTTAATAAAAGCAAATAAAGAAATAATCTGTATGTGTTCACTCAAAGCACACAAAGCAGCTCAGTGCATTCAACAAGCTCAGTTTCGCCCCCAATGCAATGGCATAATAGACTTGGATATTAAATTTTAAAGATTTACAACAGCTGAACGATTAGCAGCTAGTGCATGGTATTAATGTTGATAACATGCAAGTGCAAATAAATTGTGTTACTTGTAACCAGTTTAAATTGAGTGCATTGCGGTTTAATCAAAAAATTATCGAAGTACAGAGCATATGCTAGAATTAGTGCACACACATGTATGTGGACCGATGAATATCAGATCAATCGGTGGCAATATTTTGTAACATTTATTGACGCTTACTCGCCCAAAATATTTGTCTTTAAATTGAACGCGAAAAACCAAGTTTTTGAAAAATGCAAGATGTTTAAAAGGATTGCGGAATGCCAAACAGGCTTTAGGCAGCGATAATGACAACAAGGAGTTTACAGATTTTTTTAAGGTGAATACACCTTAGCAAAACAGCGTTGCACAGCGTTCCAACCGGACCATAGTATAAATGGCAAACAGTCTACTTACACATGAAAAGCTTGGTGTGTTTTGTGGGCAGAGGCTGTTACAACTGCTGTGTATTTGCGTAACAGATGTCCCACAAAGGCGTTGAATGCAGGCACGCCCTTCGAAATGTGCAATAATCGGAAGTCTTCTGTAAAGTGTTCGGATGACGTGGGTTTGCCCTGGACTAAGACTAAGAGAATTCTGGGCAAAAATAAAGGAGTATAAATATGTACTCAAACACCGCAAAGTCTGTACGATACGGAGAAGCGGATAGTTATTGAAAGGAATAAAACACTTCCATTGGATTCGGCAAATACAAAACCGATGTATACAAACGCTAAACCGGTAGAAGAAACATTTAGCTATATTGCCGTCTACGTCCACGACTTAATCATCGCGTGTCCAAACAAAGAAGACAGCAATGATTAAGAAGCTTGCATCGAAGTTCACGATGCACGATGGAGGCCCCATAGGCAATTTCCTACGGAAATTGAGAAGGACGGTGAACTAAGTTCAATTTCGCAATGCAAGAAATCACCCATCCATAGATTGTTAGAAACATACGGCATTATCTAATGTCGGCAAGTCAGCACACCACTTAATCCTTTTCAAGTTGAATGCAGCAACGATAAATGCAAAAGGTAAATTAAACCCAATATCAGTGGCTACGCGTTCTTCCTAGCTGGCAGTGTATTCTCCTGAACGTCAAAAAAGTAGAGTGTCGTTTCGTTAGGCAGCACAGACGCAGCATACACTGCGTTAAAGATGGCTGCAAAGAAAACACTTGGAAAGATTTTTGAATGAGATCGGTTGGTCAACAGATGTAAAGCCAATAATGATTCGCGGTGACAATATCAGCTCGTACCACATTGCGCAAAATCCAGTGCATCACAAACACATTGCTTGTGAAAATATAGAATCTAAAGAAATAGAGCTTACATATGTAAATACAAACTGTAACGTAGCTAATATTCTGACCAAATGTATACACAAGTCCAAGCATAACTTTTTTGTTGATTGGAGTGTTCGTACGAAAATTTTGTTCGCCGTTTCTGTTTGCATAAAAATACAAATGTTTCTATCTTACGGGTGTTCGTGCGAACATGTTCGACAATGGATTCGAGTGTTCGCACGAACATCATTTCTAGAAATATTTCGTACAGTCAACATGAACCGAAAATTTCTTGATTGTTTTCAAAATGAGCCGGCTTTGTGGCAAAATAAAAGCGAAAACTATCAAAATAAAAAGTTGCGCAACAAATCATGGGACAAATTATAATTAAAATATAAAGTTGTCGAAGAAAACGCCACATTAAAAAATTGTCTGCACGCTGCATACAGGCGGGAACTGGAAAAAAAAGAGGCGCAAAGTCAGTCGGTCTTTTGTTTTAAATAAACATTCATTGCCATTAAGCACGATTTTGTTTTCTTCCGCTGGCATGTTCACAGTCCGAAATTTGTTTTAAAATGATGTTCGCAAACATGTTCGTGAAAATGATCGCATAGTTAGTAGGCAAACTCGGCGAACATGTTTGTGTAACAAATTCGTCTGTGGACTGACATTTCACACAGTTTATACTTTACTCTCTATTAAACCTTTAATCGAACCAAATTATTTATTCGAAATTCTTATGTCAAGAAACAGAATGATTATCACACATCTGGAGGACTTACTTCTTACAGTTACATTAGCTAAAGCAATTTTAATCAGCTCACTTATTTTGGATAGCATTGATATAAAAGAATTGGCAAAAGAGCACACCACAAATATAAATATAGCAGATATCTTGAGAGTATCTAATATTAAGGCTTTCCAAAATACCGAAATGTTGTATTTCCTCATCAAATACCTTAAACCTGTATTAGTTTGTAAGAAAATCATTATTTACCCTGTACAACATAATAATATAATACAAGACTTTGGGGATAACAGCATACTAGCCGGTTGCTCATCGCCGTTCATCGAAGCGACACTGCTGTGAGCACTACGTTCTGCAAGAGACTTCAAGGGACAACCTGTGCGCAGCAACTAATATCTGGTCGACTCGGTCATCTGTCACCAACAACATTAATCGAGAAGGACGTCATAGTCATCAACGACGCCACCATGGAAGTTGAGGACAAGGGTAATAGCCAAACTATCAACGGTACATATTTGGCGGTCTTTGACAACCGTGTACTTCTAAATGGTACAGTTTATGTGAACGGCCGTGGCATCGTAAGAAAGAAGCCTGCGGTATCCATTGCTGCACAATTTGTTGTGACCGGCCACCACCAACAGCTGAGCCTTCCCTTCCTCCACAACCAGAGTCTGAAAAACTGCAACACATGGGCGGCTTGCAATCAGCGCTGATAATAAGACCTTGGACTAGCAGCGTCTTTTTAAGCTTAAATGTTTTGTCATTTTTTCGCTGTAATTTTTATATTTATTTATTTATTTTTTTCAGTCGTAATAGCCGGTGAATGACTGGAAAATATGAACGACAACGGCGGGATAAGCGGATTGTCATATAAGTTTGTATGGGGACCAACCAAGACATCGAATTTTCGGCAACATAACCGGTTGAACGCTTTAAGCGGAGTCGTTATTACCGGATTTCACTGACCCGCCCATTGGCGTGACAAACCGGAGAATAGACTTGCGAGGTCCCGGAAATCATGTTAGTTGAAGAGCTAGGAAGCTGAAATTTGAATGGATTCTCGCGTTGACCACCATCAAAAAGATATATCGGATGTACCTACACCTAATTGGGGCGTGGATGGAAAACGTTGCGATTACGTCTAATTTTGCTATATTTTTAGCTCTATTAGTGCTAGGGACTCCAAATTTTGAATATGTACTGGGGTTGAGCTTAAAATTGTGGTTCATTGGGGCGTGGTAAATCGGGAAAACTGTATTTTCTACGGACTTACAGCTAGAAGCTCAAAATTTACCGACTGTTAGCACCCACTATTGATTTGCACAAATATACTAAATATATATACAAAATGGGGGGACGTGACAGATGGACCGTATCATGCAGTCGATAACGCCGGACTGCAACGTTAATACTTATATAGTTTTGAAGGCAACATACAAATTGATTAACTTTGTATATTTCATGTACACATGACTGGTAATTTATGCACATTTTCGAATATTTAAGGAAACAAGCCTAAACATGAAGAATAAGTCGGCAGTTTTAAGAACATATTGTATTTTAAGATTTAATCATTGACGAGAAATAATACCAGTACCTGCGAATATATTTATAAAATAAACCATAAAATCTCCATACAATGTTTTTCTCTTGCTCTAATTTATGTAGTTTCTGTAGATATCTAATAAACGACTCACAAATTTTGGGAGTATAGAACTTATTATAGTCTTATTCAACTGAAATATACATAACAAGTAAGAAGGCTCCAGTCGAGACGGCTCGACTAGGAGATACCCTGAACCCTCTAAGCTGATATTCTAATCATTCTGCACTTCTTTTATGCACACATGCACATGCATTCACACGCACGCATAAGCCTACGCTCTGCTAACTGCGCAGTAAGCAGCGACTGCGCTTGGGCTGCGCTGCAGTGTGGGCAATATTATGAGAATTAATTTGTTGAATAATTTCTTTTGTAGACATAGGATCTTAATGAAACTTTCAGAACGTATTCATATGGTGAATATGTGTGTACATTTCAAAGCACATTAAATGCTAGTACTTTTTTACAAATTGGGGGCAAAGGGGGCGTGGTATCCAAAATCTGTAAACTACAAAAACTTTGTATCCATTAACTTTATATACAACGCAAATTTGAAGACTCCAGGTCTAAAAGTGTTCAAATTAGGCCAAAAAAACAAAATCAATTTTTCGGATGATTTATCGAAAAAATAAAGCAAACTCGTACTGCGTATGGTACACACGAGTATGCATGCCAAATTTCAGCTCTCTAGCTCTTATAACTTCTGAGATCGACGCACTAATACGGACGGACGGACAGACGGATAGGGCTATATCGACTCAGCTCGTCGCGCTGATCAAGAATATATATACTTTGTGGGGTCTGCCACGCCTCCTTCTGTCCGTTACATACTTTTTCACAAAACCATTATACCCTAATTTCCCATTTTAAATGGGTTCAGGGTATAAAAATTAGTTCACTGTATTACCAAAAGTATAATAAGTATTGCCTATCCCTGCGTCATTAAACTTACAAGCTTAAAACTTATTTAGCCTTTTAAAAGCCTTTAGCTTATACTCAAAATAACGTACATATATGGACATACATGAATAACTATTCAATATGTTCATTATGTTCACGGTTTCAGAGCCCATTAAAAATGGGAATTAAGATACAATGGTTTTGTGAAATGTATATATCAGGCAGAAGGAAACATCTACAATGTATCAATAATGTTTTCGTACAGAAGCAACTATTTCTTTGGGAACGAATAACACATATATATAGCAAGAAACTAAGCAAAGATTAAATACACTTTTATTATCTTATTTATTATCCTTAATTTAAAACAAGTATGAACGTTGCAGTCGAGCGATACCGATTGCAGAAGACTCATTCACAGCCCAAACGCTGTCAACCAGAGTATATAGTGCAATTTTCAAGTCTAGTGCGCAACAAAAAACAGGGCATGATCCCATTAAAATTGGAAAATCATCGATAGCTATTGCTATAATCATTGCATCATTGCATTCAAATTACATACATATATATATATATACATATATATTTATATTCATATATTGGATACCGGCTTCAAGCTAACAGCAGATCAGCGTGATTTTCCTAGGCATGATTTTTCTATGCGTACAGACAGAAGCGCGCTTTTTCTCACATTCTTAGAATTTCGATTGATTTCTGGACTTTCTAGCCGTTACTGTAGTTTTGTCTGATGACGCTCTCTTATTAAGCTATTCTATTTTAGCAACTGCCTGGTCAAGCAAAGCAGTGGTGCGGGTGCTAAAGGCGACGCAAGTAATGTTAGAGTAGGAGGCTCGAACCTCTTCGGTGTTATTTTTTTTCCATACATATTTCGTTATTTATAAAATAGATATTTTATTGGGAAGGTGCGAGCTTGAATGAATGGCACTTAATACTCTTCTTTTTCTTAGTCGAATAATTTTATAAGTTTAAATTTGTTTCTTCTTAAATAACCCTCAAATACATATACGCAAATACATACATATGTATATATGTAAGTCTGCACGCATAGCATCAAGCATTCCAGCCTTATACACGTGCTCATTTGTATGTGTGTATGTATGCACACATAAATGCGTACTCTAGCTTATTCTAAGAATCTCGCTGCGATTGATTTGTCTTTGCACTGTTTTTGAATTTCCAGCCTCTACACTGGCTTTTCTTTGCTATGTGGCGTCATAACAATAATGTGATTTTGTTTTAACTACTGTTGATCGAAATGACGCGGTGGTGCTGTAGGCTGAAGCGCCGGCGATCTTTATTTTAGATATTTTGACATGAACATGCTTTTCGGCTTGGGTGCGAGTTCAAATCCCGCGGAAAACTCGTTTTTGTAAATTGCAAATTTTTTTTGTTATTTTAGCTTTTTTATATTTTATTAATTTTATAAAAATGTTTCCTTCCGTGCTATCAATGCCTATTCACTTCGTGAATGAGTCTAAAAAGGATTATATCTAGATGTTGCTTAGTTTAGTAGTTATAAATAAAAGTTCATAAAAGACAGGTTTTTAGCTCCAATAGTCTTCGTACAGTAAAACTTAATACTTAAAAAATAGTTTTAAAACTAAGAAAAATGTATTTTTTTTTATATTTAATATTTTGTAGGGTAGCCTTTATTCTTTATTACCTCTTTTAGTCGGTTTGGCATTGAAAGGACTAACTTTTCTGTGTAATCTTTATCTATTTTTTCCCCATTCCTCTTTTAAAACTTCAATACGCTTGGGTTTTGACGAATGATGATACTTCTTGATATTTATTCCAACATATGCCAACAATGTTCTATGTGTTTAGGGTCATTGTCTTGTTGGAAAAATAAAACCTAGATAATCCTAGCTTGGCAACACTTGGGACCAATTTTTTTTTTTTTACATTTTAATGTATTTAAGGTGGTCCATCACCCCATCAATTATCTCGAAATTCCCGACACCAGCAGCAGCCTCATACTATAAAGCCACCACCGCCATGCTTTACTGTCTTGAATGTGTGTTTTGGTTGGAGTGCATCTCCGGTTCTTCTCCACACGTGAAGTAAAATTAGTCTATAGGTAAATATTTGCAAGGCATATTTAAGTAATATCTGTCCACTTAACGATTCAACAACAAACAATCGTTATAATTTACGTTTTCTGTATGCACCTAAACTACTAGGAAAGTACGGTGTACGAAGACTTTATAGGAGACTTTATAGAAAACACGTCCTTTAAGATTAATAAATCAGATAAGGAAATTGTATCCAAACTTTGCTTAGTTTCCGACTATACATTTATATTATTCGAAAAAGTTGCGGCTGTACGAAGATAATATTGGTACACTGTATATATTCTTGATCAGGTCGACGAGCTGCGTCGATAGAGCCGAGATCTCAGGAGATATAAGAGCTAGGGAAATTTTGCATGCGTATACCATACACAGTACGAGTTTATATTTTTTCGACAAATTGCCCGATTTATGTTTGATCGAGAATTATCGATAGATCTATTTCGAAATTTTCAAATTTTTGATACCTACCACATGTTAGAGAATTTTCCTATCTTTAATAAAGATTTCTAGTAGAGGCTGATCAAAGATATATCCTGAAGCCTGCGATGGGCTGAAATCAAAATCATTCTATATCCGTATGAAAGCCGAGATCTTTAAAACCACAAAAACTAGAGTCTCAAAATTTAAAATGTATATTTGTTTATGTCATTTGAGATCGTATTGTAATTCCTGGTAATACGCTCCATTACCCCAAATTTAATAACAAAAAAATTTCAAATACTATAAATTTGTTCTTTGGCAAATTGGTTTTATGACGTTCTGGTAGGTAGATAGATGGTAGATTCTGAAAGCCCAACTTAACGATGATTTCTTTAACAAAGAATTGACAAAAAAATATATCGAAGAGCAGTCGCTGCGCAGTCAGTTTGTGTGAAAAAAAGTGAAGAAATACTGAATGTAGCCATGCCGATCTGTACGAACGTGTTGATCTCAGAGCCTATATGAGGTAGTGACTTGAAATTTGTTGTAGGTCGGCATATATACTGCATACTGCATAGCATACTCAGATCTACTTTTTTTTTTTTAATTAATTTTATAGTTTATAGTTTTTTGTTTTTATAGTTTCGAAACAATCAAAAAAACATTATTTCTGCTTTTTATCTCGTATTGTTTAATAGAGTCGATTGAATCGAATTTTCGATGTAAATGTAGTAAACTTTGTAAACTTAGCAAAATTGTATGATAGAGCACCTTGTAATTCAAAATTTTCACGTAAAAAATAGTAAAATTAACTTACCTCCATGTATCCAAATGTCCACTCAACGAAATATCTCGTCCAAAATGTGATAGGCCGGCAAATCCAAATGATCCTACGTACCGACTAAATTGAGAAACAGCTGTACCTGTCAAGTTTTTATAAATAAAAGCATCGCTAAATTAATTGTTTCAGTAAAATCTTACCGATATGACTAGGTGGTGCTCCAATAAAACTTGCAGCTAGTGGTGAGGCTTCAAATGGGGATCTGGCGTACGCCGCAACAGACGTAAGTTCAGACGACCGATGTAAGAGGTGTGGCGATGCTGAATTCAGGCTCAATGACGGCAATGGTTTTATATTGACTGAAGCTGCAGATCCACTTGCCACAACCACGGCTCCACTAGTTGGTAAAGCAGCGCTGTTGTTTCCAGATAAGCCGACGGCCGTGGTGCTGCTCATACTATTAGTGTTATTAGGTACACTAGAAGTTCCTGAGTTACCAATGCTACAATTGTTGCCAAGCGTAGAACCTCCGGCTAGCATGGGCTTTTCTGAATTCTGCTTATTTTGGTGATAGTAAATTTCCCACGCAATGCGGACGTGCATAGCGTTCCAACGTCCTGTTTTCTAATTACGGAAATAGATAAGCCTATTAGCTAAACGTTGATATTTTTATTTTATGAAAATTTTGAAAGGTTAGCTACTGATAAAGCGGATGGTTGGCGACAGGTAAAGTGGCAGCAAGCTTGAAAATATTATGCCAAATTGAACAGGGCGATGATCTGAGTCGATACAGCCCTGTCCGTCTGTCCGTATGAACGCCTAGATCTCAGGAGTTATAAGAGCTAGAGATTTGAATGCATACTTGTGTATACTATACGCAACACGAGGCTATCATATTTTTTCGATAACTCATCCAATTTTTATTTTAAAGAAGAATAATCGATAAATTGATTTTTTTCAGCTTTATTTGAACAGAGGACTTCAGATTTACTGTGTATACACATTTGATAAATTCAAAGATTTTGTAATTTATAAATTTTTGATATGACGCCCCCTTTGCCCCTTTTGTAAAAAACGCGTTTCAAGTGCTAGGGACTTCTGCTTTGGAATGTACACATATTTTAACCATATGATCACATTCTGAAAGCGTTATGAAGATAGTCCTCCTACAAAAATTATTCAACAAGTAAATTCTCATAATATTACCCACACTGCAGCGCAGTCCACGCGCAGTAGCTGCTCATTACGCAGTTAGCAGAGCGCGGGTTTATGCGTGGGTGGAGATGCACGTGTATGTATGTATGCATAAAAGAAATGCTTTCGGCATTTTGGAGCAAATTCTCCTTTAAAAAGGATAGGTACATATTATTGTTCATATTATCATCAATGAAAACTAAGTATACAACTCCCGAACCCGACTTGCAGGCCCAACCATGCAGCAGCCACTGCCATAGCTCATATTTGGTTTTAGGTGCTGAGCTTGGAGCTCAGTATTTGGTGGGCGCCAGGCATATTGCTTCCAATCTGACCCATATATATGCACATGAGTCGAAATTTAATATATTTGCGTCGGATGGGTTCCAATATGATTGCCGCTAAGCAAATACTGAACTCCGAGATCAGCACCTAAAACCAAATATGAGCTATGAAGTGCGTCAATACATAATGAATTTACTGGTTTAGCGGGCATACGATTTCAAAGTTTGAATATGCTGTTGCACGAAATAAGGTGTGAGCCACTGTATGTAGCACGCAGATAAAGGTGTGACACACACAATAAGGAATATAAAATCTTGATCAGGGCGACAAACTGAGTCGAATAAGCTCTGTCCGTTTGTCTGTACGAATGTTTGAACGCGTCGCTCTCAGAAGAAATTTGAGCTAGAGAAATGAAATTTTCCTTTGATAAGTACCAGAGAACTGCAACAAGCCACCGGTACTTAAGGTGCACCGGGTAAATGTTGGGTGATTTGGACACCCGGGTGTTTTCAACCACCGCACAAATGCGTACAATCGTACTTGCCTCACAAAAACATTTGAGTATTTGTGCACACAAGCTGCAAAAGTGAGTAGGTAGTTTTTGCATATGCGTGTGTGGCATATGCCGGCTATTGAGCGTCGAAAAGAGATACACAAAAATTGAGACATACAATGTGTGTGTGTGTCGCCGATGTTGAGGTTACTTTTGTGCACTCCTTCGGTTGAGTTGTTTTTTACGTACTTGTTTACGTACTTGCTGCTGGAAATGCGTGCACAATAGGAACAAATAGAAAACAAAAAACAATATTTAAATCAAAAATAACTTTTTTTACATTCATTTAATATATTAAATAAACATTATAATGCTTCAGTGCATTCATTTAATTATCAAACTAAATATATTAAAGTTTGACATAAGAGAAATATAAACACGATTTATTTTATTTTTAATTTAGGAAGCTAAAAAAGAAGCTAGTGCAAAATCAAAACAACCGTTACTTCAACACACGCACCATGGTGCCTGTAAAGCTAGGTACACACGATGCAAACAATTTGCAGCAAGTTAAAAATAATTTGCAGCAAAAGTTTGCACAAATGTTCACACCAATGCAATTCATCATATGTATATACCAGAGCTCGCAAATGAGAGTTGATCGTTTTTTCGTATATGCTCTGCTTCGCATCATAACCGAAAAAATTGTGCAGACACGATCTCGCTCTGAGCGGCACTCTTTATTTTCTTTAGAATCTGTTTCGGTTAGACACATTGCAATGACTCATTCGTGTGACGCTTTCAAAGTAATGTCGCGTAAAGACTAATACGATTTTCGCTCACACAAAGACTCTCAGCAAAAAACAGTTTGACTAAAAAAATCAACAGAAATGATCTTTGCCTTCGTGTGCATGTAAATACATGCATACATACATACAAAAAGAACGCAACAATCGCGCGTGATTACCCATACAAACGCAACTTACCGTTTGCTTCATTTAACTCAAGCAAACGATCAGTGTTTGACTTGAGGAAACGAAAACAGAAATAACTGTCTCCCTCAGAGCGCGAGCGAGCTAAGCCAGACGCGACAAAAACAGTTTCTGTCTGAGTTTTTTTGATTGTGTCAGTGAAAGACACTTATTTGCAGACAACGAAAAAGTGTTAACAGTTATTTGCGAGCTATGGTATATACACAGTAAGTCTGAAGTCTCCAGTTCTAATAGTATTCTAATGCGGCTGAAAAAACAAAATAAATTTTTCGATTATTATCGACAAAAAAGTTATCGGATGATTTATCGAAAAAATAAAGCAAACTCGTACTGCGTATGGTACACACGAGTATGCATGCCAAATTTCTCTCTAGCTCTTATAAATTCTGAGATCGACGCACTCATACGGACGAACGGACGGACAGACAGACAGGGCCATATCGACTCAGCTCTTTGCGCTGATCAAGAATATATATACTTTGTGGGGTCTGCCACGCCTCCTTCTGCCCGTTACATACATTTAAAAAAAACATTATACTTATTTTAACGGTAATATTCTGTATTCAGACGACAAGCAAAAAAAGTTGCCGCAAACAGTTATTGCAAATTAGTTGCATCGTGTGTACCTAGCTTAAAACCAGAGCTTGCAAATGAGAGTTGAGCGTTTTTTCGTTTATTCTCTTTCTCGCATCATACCCAAAAAAAAATTGTGTAGACACGTCTCTCTCTGAGCGTCACTCTCTTTTTTCTTTAGCATCTGTTTCGCTCAGACGCAATGCGATCACTCATTCGTGTGACGCTCTCACATGAGTGTCGCGTAAAACTAACACGATTTTCCCTCACACAAAGCTTCTCAGCAAAAAACACTTTGACTAACAAACTCAGCAGAAAATGTTTTTGCCTTCGTGTGCATGTAAATACACGCATACATACATACAAAAAGAACGCAGCAATCGCGCGTGATTACCCATACAAACGCAACTTACCTTTACTTCTTTAACTCAAGCAAACGATCAGTGTTTGACTTGAGGAAACGAAAACAGAAACAACTATCTCCCTCAGAGCGCGAGAGAGCTAAGCCAGACGCGACAAAAACACTTTCTGTCTGAGTATTTTTTGCCTGTGTCACTGAAAGACACTTTTTTGCAGACAACGAAAAAGTGTTAACAGTTTTTTGCGAGCTATGCTTAAAACACTTGGGTGACATACATGTGATTTTTCTACTTCTATTTATTGCCCATTGCTTTTTTCCCACTTTCGCTTTTTTCTATGTTCCCTGTAAGTGTAAGTGCGACCGGCAAGCGTTGACGAAAAATACTTGGGTGACAAGCAAAAAGAAAACGGTACATTGTTGTGAGGGACAGCAAGATGTTGCTTGCATGAGTAGCACTCACACAATTTTTTATAAGTGTGTGTATGATTTGTTGAGCCAGTGCTGAGTGACACCGGCACACAAATTTTTGTGGAGTGTGAGTAAGGTGGCAATAATTGCCACACTTGCAGTTCTATGATAAGTACGTATATACATCCCGCTTATCGAGTATGTTTTCAAAACTCGAAATCTTCTGCCTTTATTTTGATATCAATTAAAAACATGATAGAAAAGGAGATATACAATAATATCTCCAATCTCTTCAAAGCTAGTCTCTAAATTTTAAACATAGATTCTTGTATATTTGATAGTTTCCATCTTCGTTATGACCCAGCCCCCTTCACTCCCTCCTTAAACTTGCAAAAGATGTATTTCTTATACTCTATGCAGATAAATATGCAAGACTCACGGTTGATCGCTTTTACTTGACTAAATAAATATATAAAAGATGTATACATCATTTAAATATCTTTCGTTTTTGTGTGCTTACCTTTGGTGCAAATGAAGTTAAATGATTAGGTGGCACAAATGGCGTTGGGCCACCCAAGCCATTGTGCAAAACTCCTGTTGGATTATATCCCGTATAACCAGGGGGAATTCCAATGCTTGCACGATAGAACGGTTGATCGACTGCAGCAATTTTAGGTATATCTTTAAATAACGGTGGAGGAAAAATTTGTGTTGGATTCGGCGGCGTAGCCGGCAATACAGTAGAAGAGGAGGATATTGGAGCTGTAGATAAAAGTTGTGGATGTTGATGCAGGTGCGTATGCTGATGTTGATGATGCAAGTCTTGACGCAAATACGTTGAAGACGACGATGGAGATGGCTGGGATAAGCCAGAACGATCTAAAAATCGACTGTCAAGCTCACGGCGCAATAAGTCAGCCTGATCGTCTATTTAAAGGGAATATAAAATGATAGAATATCACGATTATTTTAATATGCAATAGATTACTATTTTAGACATTCATACTTTTACTTGGTTGGAAGAGAGATTCTGCAGAAAATGGATGTGGTGTAGACGCAACAGCTGTGGAGACAGTTGGTACAGTCGATTGTGTATTACCCACGGTGTTGATAGAAGGCGTCGTGGTTGTTACTGTAGCCATTGCCGCAATAACGGCTGTTGTATAAGACACCAAAGGTATATGAGAAACAGTGCTGTTGATACTACTTGCAACTGAAATGTTCGCAGAAGAAGATGAATTTAATGGTGCATGGGGGGCAGCAAAAAATGTGGTCTGAAAGTTTGCTATAGGAGCATGTCCACTGCTAACAGTTGAATGAACCGCATGAGGTGAAGTAGCATTTCCAGCAACTCGACCTAGTGCTCCTATGACACCTGAGCTTAAAGGAGAGGGAAGTGGTCGAACATTGCCACTAGTAACAGTTGGAATGGATGGCGTACAAGTCATTGCTGTTGGGTGCATAGCTGATTGGCTGAAATTATATTATATATTATGTATCACATAATTTATTACGAAATATCATACCTTAACCAGAGCCCTGCCTTTGTGGTATAGGTGGATATGCCATGACCCGCAACAGGAAAAGCTGAATGTGAAGTTGGTAACGTGGTCGCTGCTAGCGTGGTTGATGAAACAGACACGGCACTGTAGGGTGTCGACGGTACTAAGCCTGAAAATGGTGCACCTATTGCAGTACCTGGTGGTCCGCTTGAAACCGACACAGTATTGCTTGGACGCACAGCTGTACTGCTGAGAGTATACAAAAATTGAAGATATTATAACTAAATATTTTCTTATAAATTAATATATAATATACGCACTTATATATATGTATGGTAAGACAAAAACATGTAAGGCTCTAGTCGAGACTGCTAAACTAGGAGACCTGTTACATACTTTTCACAAAACCATTATACCCATTTCCCATTTTCAATGGGTTTAGGGTATACAAATTTATCTACAAGAAAATTTGCGTAACAACTAAGTGCCAATGAGTGCGTGTGATTATGCTGTGTATGGATCAGAGAAGTGTGAGATGATTGTCATCACCACACGTACTCAGGGTATCTCTTTCATTTATTTTGTATACCCTGAACCCATTGAAAATGGTAATTCAGGGTATAATGGTTTTCTAAAAAGTGTGTAACAGGCAGAAGGAATCATCGCAGACCCCATAGAGTAACGAGCTGAGTCGATATAGCCCTGTCCGTTTGTCCGTCCGTATGAACGCCTAGATCTCAGAAGTTATAAGAGCTAGAGAGAAATTTTGACCGTAGACTCTTGTATATCATACGCAGTACGAGTTTATCATATTTTTTGTTAACTCATTCGATATTTTTTTTATCGAGGATAATCGATAAATACATTTTTTTCAGCCTAATTAAAAAAATTTTACTGTGTATATACATTTCAAGAATACAAAGATTTTGGATACCATGTCCCCTTCGCCGCCGATTTGTAATTAAAGTATTTCAAGTACTAGAGACTTGATCTTTGAAATATACATACATTTGAGCATTATGATCACGTTCTAAGTTTCATGAAGATAGTCCTAGTACAAAAATTATTCAACAAGTAAAATCTCATAATATTGTCAAAGCGCAGTCGCTGCTCATTACGCAGTTAGCAGAGCACATGCTTATGCGTGCATGTGGATGCATGTGTATGTATGTGCACATAAAAGAAATGGAGACTGATTAGAGAGTTCTTTGTATCTCCTAACCGAGCAGTCTCGACTAGTCTTTTTACTTCTTTTTACATTGTTTGTCAGTCAATGTATATTTTACTTCGTTGGAGTTTTTACATGCAAAAACTGTGTTTCGCCCGGAACGCATCGCTGTGGAATTACCGTAGTCTAAAAACTTTAAATTCATATATGTATAAACAATTTTATTGGAAAAGTTTTTACTGTTCTTAGTGGGCGAAACTTTTTTACTTTTTGCGCCATGAAAATTATTATTAAATCACCAGCAGGCAGAAAAGAGTATTTTAGACCCCAACACACTATTGATTATGAAAATGATTTTATATATTTTTGTATAATTTTTTTGCTGAAGTATAAGTATCGGATGGGGCTCAGGGGATTCCTACTGGGTACCCCGAATGTAGTTTATTTTACTCTTTTATGTATGTATACATATTTGATATTATTTCGTTCTTTGCTTTTTATACTGTAGATACTGGGCAAAAATGTATGAAATGATTTTAAAATTAAGGATTGCGAAAACGGGACTAAGGTCATGCGTTCCTAATTTTATATATTATTAAAAATATATAAAGAAAACAATACAATTTAAATGTTGATTAGACATTCTATCGAATCAATAAGTCAATTTTACACCTTACTCATATGTATTTATATAAATATATATATTTATAACATAGAAAAAATATGAATACCTGTAACTTGTATCGCGATCTCTACTGTCAATTTTAGGCGAAAGTATTTTTTGAATCACAGATGATGGCGCAACAGAGGTGTTTATTGAAGGCGATGGCGTCGCTGTTATTAAACTCTGTACAGTAAGGACTGATGCATTACTTGTACTAATCGTTGAAGTGGTAGTACAACGCAAAAGTGACTGTTGGGTTGTCGATGTTGAATGCGCGAACTGTGGATATGAGTTTATTACTTGAGGAACATGGGATTGATATCCAGTTTGAGGAAGAATTGGTGCACAAGGTTGCGTCTGCGAAGTAACAACTGTAATTCCTGCGGAAGTCGATAATTGTGTTGTTGAAATTGGTGGTCCAGGGGTTGAAGTACTAAATGCAGCTGGTAAGAGATGTGACTGTGTCGAATGTAACGAAGGTACGGTCGTTGTTGTTGTTATAGGAATGGTCCCTAATACCTGCGTTGTACTATTGTTGCTAATCATATAGCCTAGTGGTGTTATAGGTCGCAATCCTGCAATGTTATTAGCACTTTGCTGATTCAGTGTTGATGCACTTGTTACTGGCATTTTTAAAGATGTCATTGGCTGCGTCTCCCGACAGTTGCGACTATCCGACCGTTGAGATAAAGATGAGGTATTAGAATTTCCCATTGATATCACTGATGGAAGGTATTGTCCATGAGTTATGTTATTATAGGGTGTATATAAAGTTGAATAATTAGGGAAAGGTGAGCGGTATGGCGTTGCTTGAATTAACATGGGCAACCCTGCACTCGAGTGAGACATCAGTGGGGCTGCCCCATGAAACACCAATGAAGAGCCGGCTGCCCCTACTGAACTAGTTCCTGTACTAACAGATGTTTTCGTTGTGGTAGAGGCCGCCACTACAACGGAACCAACTACCGTATTAGATGGGATGGGCAACACCTTATTTCCTGAATGAGGAGAAACATTCAGTAGACTTTTTCCAGCAGCTATTGACGTTGCAGAACTGACAGATGAGTGACTACAGACGAATCCATTGGCGACTGAAGAAGAAGATGTTGACAAAGAAACATTTACATTCTTCTGCGGCTCTACAGCACCAGCGGTTGTTCTCCCATCAATAATTAGCTGTTGATAATCATTTGAGTTATAGTTTGTTGATAGAACTACATTAGACGTTCGGTCCGCAAATGATCCATGTAATGATGCTATAGTAACGGGAGTTAAAGGGGGACCCAAAGAAATTGTGTCCATTCCATGTGATGTTACAATTTTTTTTGAGCTTAAAGTTGTTCCTTTTGTAGTTGTGCATTGAGTTAGTTCAAGCCCACAATGTGCAGACTCCGAAGCAAGGTACGATTCGCAATCAGAAATGCTTGCGCTTGTTACCTAAGTGATATCCAAAGAATTTTAAAACAGAACTCATATATTACAAAGGTAACTTTACTTACTGGTGTAGAGCATGTGACAGAAGGATGTTTTATGGTATGTGGTACATTATCTGTCCCCGTATTTAAATGTTGGTTATCTCCATTAGGTGTTGCAGGCTTCGACGTTAAGAGTGTTGTTGATATCAAACTTACAGTTTGAATGTTTGTAGATTCGGCTGTAATCTCAATCTCGTTGACCGTTGTACGACATCCATTTGGTGCTGTACCAGGTAAAGTGGTTAACGGAGGACTTGCATCTGGCATTGATAAACCCGTTAAAGTATCGATGTCGCACACATTTACAGTTAAACATCCTGTTCGACTAGTCTGTTGTGGTATACAATTCGTTAAATTAAGTAATTGTTCAGAAGAGTGCATTAAAAACCAAGTCAGTCAGTTTTGGAAATCTGTTCAATTAACATTTTTGACAATATCTGATAACATTAAAAAACAGTATTTAAAAAAACGAAAGCAATAAGTTTAACAAGTAAGAAAACTCTAGTCGAGAGTGCTCGACTAGATACTACCCTGAACCCAACTAATAAAAATGCCCATTTTCGATGTATTTAAAAATATAAATGAAATACAAAACTCACTTAATAAAATATAAAAATATTTTGAAATAATTAAAAAAATTAACATAAGTTGCACCGCTCGGGATTCGAACCCGCGACTTCTCGATCGAGCGTTATGCCGCTAACACACTACGCCACCTCACTCACGCAAAACTCAAATAGATTCACTGCTGCTGCGCCATCTACCAAAACTAAACCAAACTAACAGCTGATGTGATTCAAAGAATGTTCCAGAAGAAGTTTGAATGTATGTGTGCACACGTATACGATGCTGTTGTAGCTGCTGCACGTGCGTTTGTTAATTGGCCAAATATTTGATGATTTTTAATTAATTTTTGACTTAATGGAATTTAATGAAACATATTATATTGAATATTTGAGAAATTTAAAAAAATTATTCACAATTAGCTGTAGTGGCATCTGACTTGAACTTGAATGTTTTTATTCGATAAAAACATAACGGGATGATTTATCGAATTTTAAAAGCAAACTCGACATCCGCGCTGTATATAAAGTCATTTAAAAAAAATTCAAATCTCTAGCTCTTATATCTTCGGAAATCGACGCGTTCAAACATACGGACAGACGGACAGGGCCAAATCGACTCAGCTCGTCACCCTGATCAAGAATATATACACTTTGTGGGGTCTGCCACGCCTCCTTCTTCCTGTTACATACTTTTAACAAAACCATTATACCCTGATTTCCCATTTTCAATGGGTTCAGGGTATATAAATGAAAACTTACAGCTACCTTATTCTACATATTTATATACTATACATACTTATCTTTTTACGGCAACATGATATTTAGCTCCCCAGAATCAATAGTATTCAAAACTAAATCTATAGGCGACACAATTATTTGCCATGTCAATTACGCTACTTAGCGACTACATATCTTTATACCCTGAACCCCTTGACGGGATTACGCATGGGAAATTGAGGTATAATTGTATTGTTATAGGTATGTAACTGGCAGAAAGAGGCGTGGCAGACCGTATAAGATACATATATTCTTGATAAGAGCGACGAGCTGAGTCCTTCTGTCCGTATGTATGAACGCGTCGATCTCAGAAGATATAAAAGCTAGAGACCTAACTATTTTTTAAATGTCCGTATATAAAGCGCGCATATCGTGTATCTCCAAAAATCGATAAACCATCCCGTCATATTGTTATTAATTAAAAACCCTATCGAAAGTCAGCTATAAAATTATATCTCTTACATCTTTAAAACTGGTTTCCAAATTAAATATAGATTCTGATGAATTTTATACAATATCGATTTTTCTTATTTCTTGGATACCGGCTCCAAATTCACCAAACTCCCTAGTGAAGGTCAGATGCCAGTATATCTTATTATGAATGATTTGGAATTTTCTTTCAAATGTCAAATATTCTATAGAATATGTAGATCATATGCTGAAAGTTTCATTAAATTCCCTTAAGTCAATTGACGTTAATAAATTAACCAAATGTCTGGTCAATTAAAAACCGCACGTGCATCAACCACATTTTTCCTGTACGTGTGCACACATACATTCCAACATATTCTTAGAATCACATTGCGATTTAAGTGTTAAAATTCAGAGTCGTTAGTTTAGTTTAGATTTGCTAGATGGCGCTGTAGCAGTGAACGTATTTCAGTTTTGCTACGTCGTTTTGCAACAGTCCAGTGGAGTTCTTACTAAAGGCGAGGCGCACCGCATTAAGTCGTGAGGTCTTGGTTCGAGTTTTAGAGCAAAGTCGATAACGAACCTTGAACCCATTGAAAATATTATGTAGTATGTTGTATGACATATAAGCATATGCTCACAATATTGTAGTGTATACAATATATGATGTTGACATATGCCCGAAATATAAGTAAGAGTATCATGCTCACAACATAGCAAGACTTTGTTGCTTTATTTATATTATAACAGCTATACATAAGTGCCGTAATATGATCTGTCACTTATGTATAGACCGGCCTGCAGCGTGGGATCTGCAACGTAAGCATTGTTACGTTCTTGTCCACGCCGCAGCTTAAACGCTAAAATGTATATGCATATGCATACAAACAAATATATACACACACATACAGCATGCTATATACTCCCATTCTGCCGCTGCTTTTAGCGACAGAATTCTTTATGTAAACTTTATGTATTTTAGGCTAAGACTTTATTTGAATAAAATACGGGGAGCATTAGCTATCCAGTACTCGAATGAAAACGTTGTTTACAATTAAATAGTAAATAGTAAATCAGGGTATAATGGTTTTGTGAAAAGTATATAACAGGCAGAAGGAATCATTCAGCCTGAATTGAACACTTTTAGACCTAGAGACTTCAGATTTAATGTATACTAGCTGGCCCGGCAAACGTTGCATTGCCCCATCCATTATTTCTAGGTAAAAAATTGTTGAAAGCTATGTTGTTCAGGTTGGGATACACTCTGATTAATTTATTAATCGGATTTTCATTCAAGCACATTGTGGTAAACGACATTCTTTGTTTTTTGGTCAGGTGCAAGAACAAATAATGCGGATGGTTTGCCAACACGTGAGCATGCTACGTACAATTGACCATGAGAAAAACACGCATTTTCTAGATTGAGGCCACAAATAGTCAAAGATTGGCCCTGTGATTTGTTGATCGTCATGGCGAAGGCAAGACGAATCGGGAATTGAATTCGTTTAAACTCAAAGGGCATATCTGTTGGGATCATCGGAATCCTAGGAATAAGAACTTCCTCATCTTTAAATTTTCCTTTGAGTATCGACGCGTGAATCACATTGCTCATCAGTTTTCTTATCACCAAACGCGTTCCATTGCACAGTTTTGGTTGGTTTAAATTTCTAAGAATGATAACTACCGAGCCAACCTTCAGTTGTAAATTGTGCGGTGGTAAACCAGGCACATCCAACGAGTTCAAAAATTCAGTTGGATAATTAGTGGCTTCTTCTTCGTTTGTTACACAGTCGATAGATTTGAATGAATACAGAGTACCAACGATTTTATTTTGAATTATAAAATTAAGGTCATCCACCTCTTTATTTATAGCCGCCAAAATTGCTCGCTCACTTAACCATTTAGTATTTTTGTGGAAAGCAATGATATTCGGAAATACTTTGTTGATAAGCTCATCTTTTGATGAGACGAAATTGCAAAAATTTTGAGGATATGAAATCAAGCCACTCGATTCGTCAACAGGAATACAGCTATTACCGATTGTTGGAGCATTAAATGTGCGTTCATGTGTTCCAGCTGGTCTTTTATCTGCTCTGATTACTACTTTATAGTCATCTCTTGGCATGCGCTCTAAAGCAGTTTTGAACAGCTTGACCAATGCATGAAGTTCGTGAAGCATTTGCTGCAAATCTTGGAGAATTGCTCTTTTCATAGCTGTGTTGATTTCTTGACACCGGTCAAGTTGTTCTTCCATATTGCCCATGAAGTATATTTGCAAGAATTTGTGCTGTGCATCTTCAATAGGTTGCAATGATTCAATGGGATGGCAAATCTAGCCTTGAATCTTTAAATTCAAAGCCATAGTTATAGTTAGATTTACAATCACTTTTTACAGAAATCTAACAAACTACATTATTCCAAATTTATTTATTTTTTTTTTACAATCATAGAAAATACAATTTTTATACCCTGAACCCATTTTCAATGGGAAATCAGGGTATAATGGTTTTGTTGAAATGTATGTAACAGGCAGAAGGAGGCGTGGCAGACCCCACAAAGTATATATATTCTTGATCAGGGCGACGAGCTGAGTTGATTTGGCCCTGTCCGTCTGTCCGTATGTATGAACGCGTCGATTTCAGAAGATATAAGAGCTAGAGACTTCAAATTTTTTTAAAGTGTCCGTAATTACAGCGCGCATATCAAGTTTATCATTAAAAATCGATAACTCATCACGATCTTTTTTATCGATAAAAAAACCCTATCGAAAACCAGTTATAAAATTATATCTTCTACACCTTTATTGCTAGAGTCTCCAAATTTTTAATGTATGCTTATATGCAATTTATACAAATTATTATTTATGCAAATTTTTAATGTATGCTTATATGCAATTTATACAATTTCGGTTTTTGTTAAAATTTAACCCCCACCCTTAAATTTACCCCCTCACCATCACTTTTGTAAAAAGCGTATTTCAAATACTAGAGACTTGTGCTTTAGCAATTACATGCATATCCATGTTATAATCATAATCTTCATGAAGATCGTACGTCCACAAAAAAGTTATTAAGCAATTAAGTTCTCATAGTAAGCGCTCACTGCCGCCCATGCGTGTTTATGCGTTTTTTGATTGTGTGTGTATGTGTTTGTGTATGTGTGTGTGTATGTGTGTGTGTGTGTGTATGTGTGTGTGTGTGTGTGTGTGTGTGTGTGTGTGTGTGTGTGTGTGTGCATGTGTGTGTGTGTGTGTGTATGTATGTGTGTGTGTGTGTGTGCGTGTTTCTTGTGTAAGCTGAAAGACGCGAAAAATTATTGAAATAGCTATTACTCCAAGGGTTCAGGGGATCTCGTAGTCGAGTAGTCTCGACTAGAGCTTTCTTACTTGTTTAACGTAAATTACCTTAAATGTCGGATTATATCCGTCTCAAAAGTTTCCGCCCCAAATGAAGTCATTTGGAAACAGGCATTGCATTTTGGAGTGTTCCCTAGAAAATGTCGTGATTCTAGTGTTTCGCCATAAAGCAGGGAACGCAATGGCTCTGGTGGCGGGACCACTAATGGCAATGTCACTTTACAACTAAGGCAGCACAGAACGGGCGTTTCACCAGCAAACTTCAATGCGCCACAATGCTGGCAAAGAACGTCCATTGGACCAATGCAAACTAAACGATTCGAGCTGTAGTCAATGGTGCAATCATATCGAAACGCTGCTTGATTCAGATCAATCCTTGAACCATTTCTTATTGCCGTTTCACGGGCTGCCTCTCTTTGAGAAGCACGAATTAAGGCCTTTCTTTGCTGGGTACTAACGCGGCGCTTTTCTCGGGCGATTTATCGTTTTTCGTCAGATAATTGACTCGCGATATTCCGATTCCTAATTGCATTATGGGTCCGTCGGGAAAGATTAGATCTTCTAGGACGCGTCATTTTTATACCCTGAACCCATTTTCAATGGGAAATCAGGGTATAATGGTTTTGTTGAAATGTATGTAACAGGCAGAAGGAGGCGTGGCAGACCCCATAAAGTATATATATTCTTGATCAGGGCGACGAGCTGAGTTGATTTGGCCCTGTCCGTCTGTCTGTCCGTCTGTCCGTCTGTCCGTCTGTCCGTCCGTCCGTCTGTCCGTCTGTCCGTATGTATGAACGCGTCGATTTCAGAAGATATAAGAGCTAGAGACTTCAAATTTTTTTTTTAAATGTTCGTAATTACAGCGCGCATATCAAGTTTATCATTAAAAATCGATAACTCGTCCCGATATTTTTTTATCGATAAAAAACCTTATCGAAAACCAGTTATAAAATTATATCTTCTACACCTTTATTGCTAGAGTCTCCAAATTTTTAATGTATGCCTATATGCAATTTATACAATTTCGGTTTTTGTTAAAATTTACCCCCCACCTCTAAATTCACCCCCTCACCATCACTTTTGTAAAAAGCGTATTTCAAATACTAGAGACTTGTGCTTTGGCAATTACATGCATATCCATGTCATAATCATAATCTAAAAGTTTCATGATGATCGTACGTCCACAAAAAAGTTATTAAGCAATTAAGTTCTCATAGTAAGCGCTCACTGCCGCCCATGCGTGTTTATGCTTGTGTGTGTGTATATGTATGTAATTGTTTGTGTATGTGTGTGTGTGTGTGTGTGTGTGTGTGTATGTGTATGTATGCCTGTGTGTGCGTGCGCGTGTGTGTGTGTGTGTGCGTGTTTCTTGTGTAAGCTGTAAGACGCGAAAAATTATTGAAATAGCTATTGCTCCAAGGGTTCAGGGGATCTCGTAGTCGAGTAGTCTCGACTAGAGCTTTCTTACTTGTTATCAATAGTAACACTGAATATGCCCTCGCACAAAACCACATAAAACAATCAAGAAATATAAATATAAATAATTTACACAAATTTATGTTTGAGACAAACAAATACCTGAACTTTCAAGATATTTAGCTTCTGTACGCACGCGTATTATTTTTATCAAATGTGCTTTTTTTTATGAATAGTCAGGTTCGCCTGAGGCTGTGCCGTAGACTGACTGACTACATTTGTTTATTTACTTCTATACTATTGTATAATATGAGAGCAGGACCGAAAGCTGTCACTGTTATCAAGCCTACTGAGTATTAATAGAAATTTGAATCTTTAGGGAAAAAACCGCGTTTTTCAAGTATTCGTCAAATTTTTTCAGTATTTTTAAGATCTACTATCCCACTCGTAGCGGAGACAAATCCAACCAATTAAAAACCATGAAAATTGGTCCAGCAGATCTCGAGTTATAAGTGGAGGAGCACTTTTACACAACTGTCTTTTATATATTTAGAAGATAGAAGAAGAAGATAGATATTGGTTTTGTGAAAAGTATGTAACAGGCAGAAGGAATCATTCAGCCTGAATTGAACACTTTTAGACCTAGAGACTTCAGATTTATTTTATATATACATTTGATGAATACAAAGATTTCGGAAATTACAGATTTAGGATACCACGCCCCCTTTGTAAAAAAAAACCGTGTTTTAAGTACTAGAGACTTCTGCTTTGGAATGTACACATACTTTAACCATATTTATTTATTTATTTCTTAAAGCAAAAGAAAACCCTAAACAAAGTACAGGATATAATTTCAATAGTAACACCGACCCGATGGGGGTATTTTATTTGCCAGTCTGGCCAGCTATGCTCACGTCTCACAGCCAAATATGGTCAGTGATACTAATGAAGCTATAAAAAGAAAGTGTTAATAAGAAAACTTAAAAAAAACCGACGACTTGGAAACTATATACTATAAGCAAGTTAATAGTCAGTTTTCTTTAATTTTACAGGCCTTAAAGGCAAGCGAACAATGAGTCGTAGTATTGTCCGCATTAATAGAATCATATAGAGATAGAGCTTTAGATGTTTTCATAAGGGGACTAAACGGTGACCTACCGAGGATGTTAACAGTTAGCAAACCTAAAAATAAAAATATATGTCTCGTGGAATTAATGATTATCAACAAAACAAAAACTGGAAAAATTCTTCATAAATCAGATTTAAGAAAATAGGAAAAAAAAGGAAAATGCACATTTAATTATATTGTAATAATCCTCTTTTAACTTCCTTGACTTCCTAGCACCCTTAGCACATTTAATTATATTGCAATAATCTTTTAGCTTCCTTAACTTCCTTAGCACCCATAGCATCCACAGCATTTTACACGTGGTATATCCCTCCTAGTTTCGATCATTCATGGTACAATGTTGGATGTATTGTCATCCAACACAAATGAATACTAAATGTATGGAACTATGAATGCTTTGAATTAACTTGAAGGTGGATATCGATGGCCCTCTTTATGCTAATTTATGGACTCTGGATAATAAATTTATATTGGATAATTATCATTATATTGGACAATTTATATTGGATGGATATCGTATTGGATAAATATCATTATATTGGGCAATTTATATTGGATAATTATCATTATATTGGACAATTTATATTGGATGAATATCGTTAAAATGGATATATGCACCCTGATCTGCGGGACGCAGATATTTAGATGGGGAAGAGTTAAGACTTTCAACAATCTAAGGAGGCTGGAGAGTCCAGTCAGACATTCAAGGGGAGAACCAAACCAGTTGAACAGATTTAGTTCAGTTTATATTCGGACTAGAGAGAGTTTAGACCTATTGTTCCAAATTATATAAAATATATTATTTCATTGAACACGAAGTTGTTATATATTCACAAGAACCCAACACAGCGTCCCCCAATCACTAGTACTCTAGTACGGGAGCGCTTAACTACTACTATGATAAGACGGTAAATTACTGTCCCATCTAAGGTCTCTTAAAGCAAAGAGAAGAAAATTTTTTTGGGCCGATTCAATACAATCCTGATACAGTTTATGCTGCGGAGACCATACAACTGAGCAATACTCTAAGATAGGACGCACAAGCGAAGTGAACGTTTAATAAAGCCAATCACACAATCATTAATGATGGTAGAAATATGAAGATTAAAGTAAAGTTTACAGTCAAAGAACACACCAAGATCCTTGACTGTAAAGATGCGTCGTAAGGAAATATTGCTAATTTTATAATCAACAAATAGAGGAACGGTACGACTGAAGTTCATTGTCATACACTTTGAGCAATTTAAGTCCAGCTGGTTTACCACACACCAAAGTTTAAATGCATTAATGTCATCTTGAAGGTGATGATGTCCAATTGAACTGGAGTATGGAAGGCAAAGTTTTACATCATCAGCATACATAAATATAGTAGAATACGAGATACAACTAGGAAGGTCATTTATAACAAGTAAGAAAGCTCTAGTCGAGACTGCTCGACTACGAGATCCCCTGAACCCTTGTAGCAATAGATATTACAATAATTTTTCGCGACTTTCAGCTTACACAAGAAACACGCACACACACACACGCACGTACGCACACACAGGCATACATACACACACACACGCATACATACACAAACGCATACACACACACACATACACAAACATACACACACAAGCAACCACGCATAAACACGCATGGGCTGCAGTGTGCGCTTACTATGAGAACTTAATTGTTTAATAACTTTTTTTATGGACGTACGATCTTCATGAAACTTTCAGATTATGATTATAACATATGCATGTAATTGCCAAAGCACAAGTCTCTAGTATTTGAAATACGCTTTTTACAAATGTGAGGGTGAGGGGGTGGATATAGGGGTGGGGGGTAAATTTTAGTCGAGACTGCTCGACTACGAGATCCCCTGAACCCTTGTAGCAATAGATATTACAATAATTTTTCGCGACTTTCAGCTTACACAAGAAACACGCACACACACACACACACGCACGTACGCACACACAGGCATACATACACACACACACGCATACATACACAAACGCATACACACACACATATACACAAACATACACACACAAGCAACCACGCATAAACACGCATGGGCTGCAGTGTGCGCTTACTATGAGAACTTAATTGTTTAATAACTTTTTTTATAGACGTACGATCTTCATGAAACTTTCAGATTATGATTATAACATATGCATGTAATTGCCAAAGCACAAGTCTCTAGTATTTGAAATACGCTTTTTACAAATGTGAGGGTGAGGGGGTGGATATAGGGGTGGGGGGTAAATTTTAACAAAAACCGAAATTGCATAAATTGCATATAAGCATACATTAAAAATTTGCATAAATAATAATTTGTATAAATTGCATATAAGCATACATTAAAAATTTGGAGACTCTAGCAATAAAGGTGTAGAAGATATAATTTTATAACTGGGTTTCGATAAGGGTTTTTATCGATAAAAAAATATCGTGATGAGTTATCGATTTTTAATGATAAACTTGATATGCGCGCTGTAATTACGGACATTTAAAAAAAAATTTGAAGTCTCTAGCTCTTATACCTTCTGAAATCGACGCGTTCATACATACGGACAAACGGACGGACAGGGCCAAATCAACTCAGCTCGTCGCCCTGATCAAGAATATATATACTTTGTGGGGTCTGCCACGCCTCCTTCTGTCTGTTACATACATTTCAACAAAACCATTATACCCTGATTTCCCATTGAAAATGGGTTCAGGGTATAAAAAAGGAAAAAAGCAATGGACCCAAATGGCTACCCTGAGGTACACCAGACGAAACAAAAATAACTTTAGACATAGCTGTTCTCAGCGAGACTCTTTGGGTTCTACCCATTAAATAGGATGAAATCCAAGACACAAGTCTAGGTGAAAATCCTAAGCGTTCAAGCATAAGAATTAGTATGTGATGATGTACTGAGTCAAATGCTTTACTGAAGTCAGTATAAATAATATCAGTTTGCATTTTTTTAGAAAAACTGTCATTAACAAGCGAAGTAAACTCAAGTAAATTAGAGGACGTTGATCGATTTTGAACAAAACCATGTTGAGATGGTTGAATAATCGATTTGCAAAAATGCTGCAAGGCCGATGTTATGATTTTCTCAAATAACTTCGGAATAGCAGATAATTTCGCAATGCCTGTATAATTGGAAATCTCAGATCTTCCACCTTTTTTATATAAGGATAATAATAATGAAAGATTCTTTCCAAATTGAAGGGAACACAAGTATCCAAGGACAAGTTAAACAATTTTTGTAATTGTGACTGAAGAGAAACACTGCACTCTTTAATCACACAACTTGGAATATTATCGGCACCGGGAGAGAAAGATGATTTCAATGTCCTAATGGCTGCAGCCAGAGAGGCTGCATAAACTTTAGGAGTATTTATAGACCCATATTCAGGAAGTGAATATGGATATGAGTTGCTGTAGAGATCAGCAGAAGAATAAGTGGATTGAAAAAAATCAGCAAAAAGATCAGAGGAATCCTGGTCATTGCAAGTTTTTTCACCACCAAGGACAAATGAGGACGGCAAACCAGAAGATTTACGCTTCAAGTTTACAAAAGAGTAAAATTGTTTGGGATCTCGAGCAAACTGACGTTTGCAACGTATGAGATAATTCTCATAACAGCTAGAATTTAAAAGATTGAAGTTTGACTTGGCAATGGAAATTTGGACCAGTCAACACTTGAACCAGACTTTTTATAATTTTTAAAACATTTAGTTTTAATGTTTCTCAAGTTCGAAAGAGTCTTGGTAAACCATGGTGGCTTATTTGAAACTGGCGAATTACGGCAGAGAGGGACACAAACATCCAGAATAGAGTTTAAGGTAGAATAAAAAAACGTAATATCAACCGACTCATATAAAATAGACCAGTTACGATAACAGCGACTAATTTTAGAAGGCATTGGAGTATTAGAGGGAGGAATATCAACAGTTAATAAAACCTCTAAAGTGGGGTGATGCATATCCTCTGGTAAGCAGAAAGGAGTTGATCTCGCGACATTAATGAGCGAATCATGATTAACAAACACAAGATCTAAAGTGCGATTTAGATGGTTTAAAATGGAGTTCATCTGAAACATAGACAGGTTAAACAATTCATCAAAAAGATAGTTATCAATTGTCGAAATAAAGTAATTTGATCACGTTCTGAAAGTTTCATGAAGATAGTCCTACTACAAACATTATTCAGGAAGTAAACTCTCACACTGTAGCGCAGCCCAAGCGCAGTCGCTGCTTACTACGCAGTTAAGAGAACGCGGGCTTATGCGAGGATGGGGATGCATGTGTAAGTGTGTATATATGTGGGCATAAAAGAAATTCAGAATGATTATAATATCAGCTTGGAGGATTCTGGGTATTTCCTAGTCGAGCAGGCTCGACTAGAGCCTTCTTACTTGTTATACCCTGGACCCATTGAAAATGGGAAATCAGGGTATAATGGTTTTGTTGAAATGTATGTAACGGGCAGAAGGAGGTGTGGCAGACCCCACAAAGTATATATATTCTTAATCAGGGCGACGAGCTGAGTCGATTTAGCCCAGTCCGTCTGTCTGTCTGTATGTTTGAATGCGTCGATTTCAGAAAATATAAGAGCTAGAGACTTTTTTTTTCAAATATCCGTATATATACCGCGAATATCGAGTTTATCTTCAAAAATCGACAAACTTTTTCCGTCATTTTGTTATCGATTAAAAACATTATCGAAAATAAGCTATTTAATTATATCTCCAATATCTTTAGAGCTAGAGTCGCCAAATTTTATGTGTAGACCATATGTACTGTATAGAATTTCGATTTTTGTTATAATTCACCTCCCACCCTTATATCCACCCCTTCACCCACACCTTTGTAAAAGGCGTATTTCAAATACTAGTGCTTTGGCAGATATACACACATTAATGTTATCATCACGATCTGAAAGTTTCATGAAGAAAGTACATTCACAAGAAAAATTATCAAATAATGAAGTTCCCACAGTAAGTCAACACTGCAGCAGTAGATATGTCTGTGAGAGTGTGTAGGTTTTGTTTTGCGAAATGAACAAATTTATTAAATTTAAGTGCCAGTATATGAAATATTTTTATTTTTACTAAATTGACAGATATTAAATGACTCTTAAGTTATTTAATTAAGCGCTTTTAAAATGGGCATGTTGTATTCAAGAAATTGTAATGGTGATTGAATAGCGCCGTGAGCATGCTACCACCTTAACCATTAGATCACTGATAGACTTGGTAGCATAGTTGCACATACAATACTTAAGTAGAAGCTGAAATACTTAAGTATTATATGTGCAACTATGCTACCAAGTCTATCAGTGATCTAAAGGTTAAGGTAGTAGCATGGTTGCGGCGCTTATTGTCTGTTGAGTTGCAAGTTCGAGCCTGCGTCCAGGCAGTGCTTATCATTTTTGATATTAAGCGAACTTTTATATATGTACAAGCTGAATAATATTTTTGTTTATTAATTTTCTTTGTA